CGCCCCCGCAACACCACTGCACCCGACCACTCGTACTTCGCGTACATCTGTTAACGTTTTGGTTGCATCTGGCGCATTATGTGCCTCATTCCGCTGTCAAAGCGGGGCAGGTTTCAGAGACGCTCTATGCCCCTCCCCCACGGCTGCATCAGCTTCCGCCAACCTCGGCTTTAGCTTCTGGGCTTAGCATCTTACATTATTTGTTCTTACTGCCCCTTTCCCTACACGTTCCACCATCGCCAAGGCGTGATCGGCAATACCCCTAGGTTTGCAATTAGGTATCCCGCGGCTACTGGATGTTTCGGTCTTCCAGCGCTGCGCCATCCTCGTTATACCTCAGCCTGCTTCTTCCACGCCTGCTGGTTTTCGGTCTGCGCCCTAGATACGGGCTTTGTCTTTGTCTCCGATCACTTCGGTTACATACAGAACCCATCCCGCGGTTTCCGCAGTCCAGTTGTAACCGACCACACCTACCTTATTAACGATGTCCTGCAATTCTTCTTTAGTTCTTCGCCTTTCGCGATTCGTCGAATAGGCCTTCATTTACACAAATATTTGTCCCACACCTCTCACTAACACTGTTCTCTTCTCCCATACCCAATGCTTACAAAACAGCAACGGACAGGAACTGGTAAAATAGTTGGTAACTTTTTATTTACTTGTCGGCTCCATTTATATTTGCACTGTCTTCTTGGTCTTTCCCGTCTTTCTTCTGCTGCCGGTCGCATTTCCCTCCTACCTTGCTCTACTTTGCCTCCCGGCGTTATTATACATTAGGTCTTACTGTATATCCGTGGAATGCCTGCTGGCTTCTATAAGACAGATTAAACTGCGCCAAATTATCTTACCCCGCTTTCTGCCCACCGCCTTCATTTCGGTAGACATACACATGCTCCATCTCTCAGACCTACCGGGCACATTTGTTGGCATTGCTACACTTTCCGTTCGCCGGCAACCTTCCGCCTGTTCAGTTGCCAGCTTCCTCCTACCATATCTGCTAACCTATTTGGCAATATTTACTAACCTTGCTCATTACCGCGGTTGCTCACCGCGGTTGAATTTGGCCATACTTAAACGGTCATGGCCTCTGCCACCCGACGAGCCCGACAGTTGGCTCAACTCCGTGTTCTCGTGTGCATTAGCCAAACGCTTTCGGGATTGCCGGCCCACTTCTAGATGGTTGTGGTTAATTACTTGGAAAATGTTACACATCTTGCTCACTACCGACCTTGACGAATTGGACTACGCCGCGACGCTCATAAATTCCGCAAACTGTTGGAAGAAGTATTGCACAATCATCCGGCCTCCGATTTTCGTTTACTTTCCGATTGCGCCTATAGCGGCGCACTTTTAGAAGTTGGGGTTAAGTAGTTGTCGAATTCTTTTACCATTCTTACTGGCCAGAGTTGAGCTGTGTGTCTGCAGGAACTGTCACAAACTGCCGGTATTGCATGCTTTCGGATGGCAAACTACGGGTGATATTTCACTTTCTGATGTGTGCCTATACCGCTCGCTCGGACATCAGCCCACTTTGTCGCAACCCACGTTT